TCTAGTGTTAATGGGGTTGTCAAATTGTCCCTTTTTGTTGATTCAATTGTATCACCTTGATAGATCGCCGTGTAAGTTGCATAAATTCAACCACAACAATCACAGCAGTACCACTTGATGACGTGACTATCCAAGGTATAAAAATCTCTGGAAATAGATTCATCTTGTTTGTAAATTATTGTGTTGTTGATTACAATATGATTTTTCAGGTTTGATTTTTGTTCTTCTTTCCTTATATGTTAAACTCAATGTTATCAATTATTGTTTGTTGTTTCATATGTTTACGAGCAGTGAATTTTGTGTCCTTTTGTTAACTTCCAGAACCAAAAGTATTAGTGAGTGGCAATGATTTCTATGCTTTCCCTCGATTGGATCCCAAAGGTGAAAGAATGGCTTGGATTGAATGGAGTCACCCCAACATGCCATGGGATAAATCAGAGCTTTGGGTTGGCTATATTTCTGAGAATGGGTGAGTTGAATTCTTTCATTGTCCACATAGCTTTTCTTCGGCATTCTTTTCATTTCCTATAACCGATTTCTATCAGTTCTTTTAGTTCCTTTTTCAAATTGAAAGTTGACATGTTCTGGATTGTTGATTCTCTTCATTTTTGGTACTATAAATATATTGATATCTATGGATTCGTATGTCATGCAGAGATGTGTACAAACGTGTTTGTGTAGCTGGTTATGATCCTGAAATTGTGGAGTCTCCTACAGAACCAAAATGGTCCCCTATTGGTATTCGATAATAATTTTCTTATTTCGTGGACAGTTCTAAATATGAAATTTAGGCTTTCATGATATCATACTTAGGCAAACAATCACGTTTTAGAGTTTGCATTAATGAAATAATATCAATGAAATTCAGAAATTTGACATTAATCTTGCAATATCAATGTCTAAATACTGACTGTGACATTTCTGCCTGGTTTGGGCCAATTAATTCAATGTTTTTCTCTTCCTTTTGATATTTTCTGATCTTATAGGAAAGTGATTATTCATGTATAGGTTGTTTGACAATTTTATCAGTGAAATATTAAAATAGATTCAAATATGTGCAGGAGAACTTTATTTCATTACAGATAGAAAAAATGGATTTTGGAATCTCCATAAGTGGGTAAGTTCCTTTTTGTCTATTTAAAACTGCATTTTATAGCCAGCAGTGTCAAGCTCAGCCCATTGTCCATGGTTACATGATGCATCTTCTTAAAAAAAAAATCAATAATAACAATGTATTTAGTCCGACATGGCCAACAGTTTCCCATAAATTAATATCTCCACAAAATTCGTTGGTTGTTTCTATTAGTTTCTAACTTGCATTGTAGAACCAGTCTCATTAATTACTTTATTATTTGTTTTCATTTTCTCTTTTTCCCCTCCAAATTAATCACCTCTTATCATCTCTGGAAACAGGTTGAATCTAGGAATGAGGTGCTTCCACTTTATCCCTTGAATGCTGAGTTTGCAAGACCACTATGGGTTTTTGGAATGAATTCTTACGAGTTCATCAAGAGCGAGACTGGAAAAACCTTAATTGCTTGCACCTACAGGTAATTATAAGAAAATTACTGGCCAACACACTTCAATATATGGATAAGGTCTTTGAAAAAAAAATAAAAACTGTTTTCGATTTTGTTGAGTGAACTTGTGGATTTTTGAATGCAGGCAGAATGGGAGGTCATATCTTGGAATTTTGGATGATGTTCAGGGTCCATTTTCTCAGCTCGATATTCCTTTCACGGATATAGACAATATTGTACTTTCAAAATCCCCAAAAAATTATTTGTGCTTAGGAAATTATAATGACGTCTTTTTAAAGATGTATGTGATTTATTTTAGACTTCATGGAATAATTATCTGTATGTTGAGGGAGCCTCTGCAGTTCAACCTTCATCAGTGGCTAAGGTAAGGATGTCCTAATCTCTACATGTTAATAATATTTTAGAGGTCCTTTGATTACAATCATAACAGTCTTTTATTGTTTTTGAAGGTGACTCTAGATGGTCATCAATTAAATGTAGTTGATTTCAAGATTGTTTGGTCATCTTCATCAGATTGTTTAAAGTACGAGTCCTACTTCAGCCAGCCAGAGTTAATTGAATTTCCGACTGAGGTTACTGGTCAAAATTCCTATGCATACTATTATCCACCAACAAATCTCCTTTATCAAACTATCCAGGAAGAAAAACCACCATTGCTGTTGAAAAGTCATGGTATGGTATTCTCTTATCATGAAAACTTGTTAAATGCCCTTCACTTAATGAATTTTGTCTCCAGCGGATTAGCAAATTCTTTTCTGTATTTGATTGCATTATGACATGTAATCTTATGTAATATGTGGCAGGAGGGCCTACTGCTGAAACTCGTGGAATTTTGAATCTCAGTATTCAGTACTGGACTAGTCGAGGTTGGGCATTTGTGGATGTTAATTATGGTGGAAGCACTGGTATGTTCTCCTTGCCTTGGCAAAATATGCAGAAACCTCCTTGACGGCATCATTAACATCTTTGAACAAATTAATTATGTTTATATCTGATTTAATATGGTGCCATGCTTGAATTACATGACACAATTTTGTAGGTTACGGAAGAGAATTTCGTGAACGACTTTTGGGGCGCTGGGGAATTGTTGATGACTGCTGCAGCTGTGCTCGATTTTTGGTACTTAGTTCAATTGTTACCAAATTTCTAAGGGATGGAGATATGCTTATATATAACACTGATCAGTCATGATAACATTTTATTTCTCTAGCTGGAGAATGGGAAAGTAGATAAAAAACGACTCTGTATAACTGGAGGCTCTGCTGGTGGGTACACGACCTTAGCAGCCCTTGCTTTTAGAGATACATTCAAGGCTGGAGCTTCCCTCTATGGGGTAATTGATATCATCATTATTTTCAATTTAACTCTGGCATCTTTCGTTATCTTTTGTTTGATCTGCTTTATATGTTATATAATTTTCTGTGAACAGGTAGCTGACCTGAGCTTGTTGAGGGCCGAAACACATAAATTTGAATCCCGTTATCTTGATAAACTCGTTGGTAAGTAGAAAAGGATAACCAATGCCTGAGTTTGATTTTAAATTTCTCCATTGAGTTGCTTATCATATCCCTCTGACCATTTCAGGAGATGAGAAGGCTTACTTTGATAGATCACCAATCAATTTTGTTGATAAATTTTCTTGCCCCATCATTCTCTTTCAGGGACTGGAAGATAAGGTACGAAAATTTTCAACTTCCTTTTTGGACACAATAATGAAGATCAAAGGGTTATTTTGGTTAATAAGACTTGAGTGACATTTCTGAAGACTTGCAGATTGTGGCATAACTGAGGTTTTTTGTTAGTATTATAATATTTGTTTCTTTATTATTTCCTTAGAATTTGAGTTCAAATTAAGTGGTAAACTAAGTGATAGCTGAGATGAGTATCTTGCTTGTAATATATGACCTTTGTTGCGGTAAAATTTGTCTTCAACAATTAATATAGCACAATTAAAGCGGACTTCAGTATCTTGAATAGCCTTTACATGTCACAGGTTGTACCCCCGGATCAAGCTCGTAAAATCTACAAGGCATTGAAGGAAAAGGGTTTGCCTGTTGCTCTTGTGGAGTATGAGGGAGAACAGCATGGTTTCCGCAAGGTATACAATATTCCACCCTGCATGTCTTTAAAATTTTGTCATACTGAAATATGATCAATCCCACCGACACTGCTTGAACGGCTGAGAACATCAAATTCACATTAGAACAACAGATGGTGTTTTTTGCACGGTTGATTGGAGGCTTCAATGTTGACGATCCCATTACGCCAATTAAAATAGATAACTTTGACGCATGAATTTCTGGTACCATTAACAGTCTTATAGTTTTCAGGAAGTTTGATTGCCAAAGCCTGCACTTAGAGCATGTAAAAAAGACCTTTTCATCTCTGTAAACCTGAATATTAACCTGATTATCATCACCGTTCTATGAACTATATTTGCTAATAAGATGTTTTTAACAACATAAAGTCGTACTCTATTTTAATGCCTAAGATAAAAAGATTTGGTATTTTACATATGTATTCATTTCCAGAACGACCAATTTTAGGGCCACTGCCATGGTCCTCATGGCAATGGCTTTAAGTCCATTTTCATTATCATCACAGCAGAGCAGAGGGTAGCCTGGGCAAATGAAAGGAGAATTAAATATACTACGCCACCATGAAAACTAATGGCTTCACTGCTTTAACTATGGCCACCTTGCAAATGCTATAATGTCCTTTGCTTCATATAGGCTTTATATTAGCTATGCATGTGTAGAATGTATGTAGTCCACATATGGGAGGGGCAGAAATTAGGACCACTTTGTTTAGACATTAAATTGTTTTGAGCCCAAGACAAAGTTCCGATCCCATCAGCCCTTCTTTTCAGGGTTTCTTAGCAGTTGACGGCACTGGTTTATCATAATTAATGCCCTCGGCTAGTTTTGTCACATTCCCGCTAAAATATCTGTGCAAGCAACAAATATGACCCCTGCAAACCCGGATAGTTTAACTCTTATATTAGTTCTCTTGAAAAAAAAGTTTTCAATAACTTTGAATCTTTGAAGTGTTTATTGTGTGAGGTCTAACCAAATTAGATTGCTGGAATTAAAACTTTAGTGTATTCTTTGTCAAAAATAGTGGTCCAAACATATCACAAGCATAGAAAAGCATGCCTTGCATTGATTTAAACATGGAAGAAATAAGAACTTCCTGCTACTTATGGACCAGCTTGCGGATATCTGCATCAGGTATCTGTTGCTTTCCTTGAGTGCCAGGCTTCATAATGGTAGTTGGAAATACTCTTCAGTTTCTCCTTTAAAAGGGGGCATGCACACTAAACTTGTACAACATTTCTCTTGAATGAAACTTCACATTCTTAATTATCATTGTCAAGTAGTCTATGGTTCCCCTCTTTTCAATGAATATACTTCAACAAAGCATCCTGTAATATTAGCTTGAGGCATCGATCCATAAAAAGTAGGCACGAACCGGAAAAAGTCTGGCTTCTGTTATTGTTCTTCCCCAAACTTTTATTAAGTACATGTAGAAATACACAACTACTTACAATTATTCTATACTTGGTATTTGATATTAGACTGTACAAAAGCAATACTGCAAACACCCTTGGAACTGTGTAAGCAAAATTCTAAGTGAATGGTAAAATGATTTATTTATGTACATAAAAGGTACCTAAAGCTGAACTCATACGGTATAATTTGAACAAACTGTAAGAGAGACTCACTTTGGGCTCTTTCAAGATACTTCAGTGCTTCTTTTCCTAGCTCACTAGGTAATTGAAGGCAAATCCAATCAAGCAAGGATTTCAAGTCCTTGGCAAAGTCAAGCACGTACCATTCCAACAGCTTTGGGATTGCAAACTTTGTTGATGAGATTCCAACTGCAACCTGCAAGTACTCTCTCTTTGCCACTTCCAATTCGTTCTCAACTTGAGAAGCGGTATATACTCGAACCTTCGGTCGACAAACAATTATCAGTATCAGTATTAGATAACTAGTAAGGTGCTTTGGAGATAAAATGTAAAGGAGAAAGAAGAAAATAATGGCAATGACATTAAAACGGGTGACAGCGGCAAATCAATGATACATGGACCACTGAGAGTAGATGATGACTAACTCTGATACAAAGTTAAAACTTACAGCAGGAGAGGACTAGCTTCCACATGCAAGGGCAAATGTCACCAATGATTCAGATAGTTCCAATCCAAACATGCTCCTGGCGGTCATTTCATCATTCTTGGCACCCTTAGAAAAAGTCTGACCAAGATTCAAGATATATGACAGACTTCATTATCAAACTGAAGAAGAAAAGAACGGATAAGTTTGCAAAACAAAGTAAAATGAGGTACCACTTACAAATTTTGAGTGGTAGGGCAATCTGAGAATGAAATGTTCTATGGTTATTGCATTCAACTGGTGTCCCCCAACATTTATTGTTGCCTGTTGTTACATGGAATAGGCAATTGAATTGCTGTTAGGCCAATGTGGTTGTACTAATATGCAACAATGTTATAAGAAAATCATGTTTCTGGGACATCCTGACCTTTCTCATCATTTCCACAACCATCTTTGGACTCTCTGGTACTCCTTGTTCTAAGAATGTCTGAACCAATATCAAGTGTTAAAACTGATTCAATCCACTGGAGTAAACCAAGTATAATAGAAGAAACCAAATTCATTGAAATTTAAAGTACCATCATAAAGACAATGTGGGATATGGGAGTCATGTTTTAAACTAGTATGAATCTTTATATACAAATTAAGCCACTAGTTCGAATATGTAATACAAGCCTAATTCTTTTCTTTTCGGTTTTTATATTCACGATCCGTCACTTACATTCATCATGCAGGAATTATAGATATTGATCCAAAATGCAAGCTGCTCTTGATGGTTAAGGTTCTGCAAGTTCAAGGAGGCAAGTCTTGCAAGGAGGAGTCTGAGAAATGCAGCACAAAAAATCCATTACAATTTTTTGGAATTTTGATAAACAATAGAAAATACATCAAATGAACAAAGAAAAGATGATTTACTTCAATCTGTGCAACAGAAATAAAGAATTCGAAGTTCGGTTTAGATTGATCGAGTCATCACCAATTGAAACTAAATGCTTGTATGGGCCAATATCTCTCCTTGCAGAATTTGAACAAATTCCATAAGGATCCCGAAATCCGGTTTCTTCACGGCTTTCTTCCGACCCAATCAATGATAATGAAGGGAAAGTTTCTGCAGTAGGATTTCTCTTTACTGAACTCATTCTTAAGAAAATGCTGGACAAACATTTTACAAGCTCCTCCGAAACCTTGTTCGGTCCATCGACTCTCAACATTCTCTCGGCCGGGATGCTAATATTTCTTGCTTCTGCATTGCCTTGGTCTCTCACTCTGCATTCTATCTGAAAATGTAAAGCATGCCATATACAATTAGCTGCGAAAAAGTCTTTCTATAACTCAAATGAAATGAAATTGGTTCATGCCTGCGATCTTGGAGGATCTAAGCGTTTCTCTGCTGGCTTCGCATCGATCACAGGTCTCTTCAAAGGAGTTCCAACAGATTGGCTTTTATGTACTAAGGGTCCTTTATTGCTCTTTGTGGAATTAGTACGAGACTGATTCTCTTTTTCCATTTTATCATCTGAAACAAAAACGAAGACTAAAGTTTAATGGCATTGACATGACTCATGAGACATTAGAAAAAACATAAAACTCACCGGAGAATGATTGCAGATGACTTGCCATCGATGAATTCTGAGTCAAAGTTTTCGGATTTTCCAGGCACGCCTCGCTCGAATCAGCTGGATTTTCCGTGTTTCTTTTTGAAGATGATATATAGACAGCTTCTTGATACAAGTCTTGTCTGAAGTGTACAACTTGTTGTTCGAGCCGGACGATCTCCTCTTCGAGTACCGCCACTTCGGCTAAAAGCTCCAATGTCTGCTAAATCAAAACCCAACATTAGAATGAGCAATTTTAATCACTTCCTCAGCTTATTCCTTCAAGTTTCTCAAGTTTTTGAAGGAAAGAACAATGGTGAATTACTAACTGAAGGAGGGAGATAGGGAGGAAGACGAGGTAAAGCTCCCAAAGGTCTATTAAAAGCTCTTTCCAAAGCTCTATGGATATTCTCTTCTTGTCTAAGCTTCTTCTTCAGTTTATCAACCTGATAAAATATTAAAGCTTTCAAGTTTCATTACAATCAACAAAAGAGATAAGAAAATGAAATCCGAAACTTGTAACTCAGTCTTGGTAAAGAAATCTATACATCTCGTTGGAGAGCCATTTTTCTCTCATTGGTCAAGACTCGTCGGTTTTTCACTGCCTTTGTGGCGACTGTTGGCTGCATTTCTGCCTTCTCCTTCAAAGAGAAAAAGAGTTAAGACACAATCAGCCTTATTAAGCCTATAAAGTTGACATTTTCCGGGTAAATCCACCTGGGGTTGCAATGAAAGATGCCTACTTTAAAAAATCTTCAACCTTCAAAGTGTAATAATAAGCAGTAATTAAAGAGATCCCAATTTAGCCATTGATTAAAATGCTTGACAACTATGATTAGTTATTACTTTTTCATGCTTCAATGGAACTTTCCTGGACTGCAGAGACACCCTGGCTCTGGTATCCATCTTCTCAACACTCTATCTCCACTGCCTTATCTGCAACAACAAAAACCAAATTCAAAAAACTTCAACAGAAAGATCATTCAAAGGTTAAGCAACAAGAAGCTGGCAAATTAAGAACTTCACCCTAAATAAAACAGAGGACTGATGAGATTCAGACCCCAAGCAAGTAAAAGACAATTCTGAGGAGAAGAAAGGAAGTAGGATTAGGATATATTCTGGGTTTGGACAATAATGTTATATGTTATGTATTTAAAGTAGCAAGACAGAGAGGATGTTTGCAGAAGGCAAAAGCACGGGCATCTTAGGAAGAAGATAGAGCCGTACATAAACTCCACGAACAAACACTCCGTTGCTCGAGTCATCATGAATCAACGTGGGTCTTCCCTTTTACCTTCCACTTCGCTAACTACTAAATAGTAAATACTAAAGAATAATACGTTCTTGGGTAATGTTTTGCTTTTACCACAAACCTCAACTTGTTTCTTTTTAAAGATTCCACAAACTGCATGGTTTTCTTCTTCTTTAAATCTCTGGATCTATTGGGAAATGAATAATATGATGGGTTATTGGAATGTTGGCTTTGGGGTTAATAAGTTGGAAAGTAATTATGCGATGGTTATGTTTTGGCAAGGAAAAGCTGCACATTTCACATGCTTGCCAACTAAACAGTTTTTTAATAGAAAAGAGTTATTTATTATATTTTTTAATTAATGCAAAATAACTTATTAGAATTATTCCCTTATAAAATTATAATAATTATGATTGAATGCGACAAAGATGAGGTATGAGAAAAACAAAGTATTTCTTTGAATTTTGAATATAATAATTTATTTTAATTTAATTCCGTTCAAATCATTACTAGCGGTTGATAATCCAGCCGATCCTTTAACACCTTTTTAGTTATGGATTCCTAAAGGTTCTATTATTATTGTTTTGTTTATTTATTTAAAAGATAATTTTATTATACAAATAAATTATAAATTTCATCACTTAATTTTATTATTATTTTTGTTTTGATCATTTTATCGTTAAAATAATTAATAGTGTTATGATGTAGTAATTTTTTGCTTAAAATAAAAATATATAATTTTTTGTTAATTTTTCATTTTTAATTTGGCATAATGTCAATATTAACCTCTAACATTTATTAAAATGGCTGTTTTGGCCCCTCTTTTTTTTCTTATAGCGTTTTGGCTCCTAACATTTCATATTAGGGTAGAAAAGCCCTAATGTTTGATTGAATAGTCATTTGACAATTTTTCTAAAATATTTTGACCATCGACATTTAATTTTAGGATAAAAATATCACTATTTTAGAGCATTAACCGTTTGTTAGGTAATAGTTTCCATACATATAAGAGTCTTTTTATTATAAAATGAAACGTTAGGATCAAAATGTTCAAAAAAATAAGGACAAAAGTAATTATTTAATCCTACGTTGAGATATTTTTTGATATTATACTTTTCTTTCCAAAACTTTTTGTTGAGCTAAAAAAATATTTTTTTTCTTGTTTATTGTCATGATCATCGATAACGAGTGAAAGCTCTATAACAATGATGGTTTCATCTTCATACACCTGAAGCAGTGTCGTGCTGTTATCGAACAACTATAAGTGTAATATAAGCTAAGAGTTTAGGGTTTCAAATACAACATTAAGAGGAAAAAATCAAATGAGAAACAGAGAACGACATCATCTACAATGATGGAAAGGGATGACACTTTTAGCTCTTTGGTTGATGAGTTTTTTTCTCAAGTAAATTAGAAAATTTTTATTTGAGAAATTTTATAACTTTGGGGGTGTTTTTCTTTTATGATTGATATCTTTTGCTTTTGTATTTTAAACGATACGCATTAAATATAAGATATTATATGTTTAAATAATATAATCATTTGATAATAAATATTCATACACTCATGATGTTCGAATACGAAACCTTTAAAAATAACAAAAATTCTTTAACAATCAAGGTCGTATGGTTCGTACTTGATATTTTTTTTTGTTATATTTCAATTTCAATGTCATTTCTGATAAGATAAACACTAAAATGGATCTGGACCCTCTTTCCTTCCAACCGGCGTAGATCAACACCTTATTGATGTTGAATTTCTTTCAATGGTTTTATTTTCTCAAGAAGAGTCGATTTTGCCACTCCATTATTCAAAGATCCTAAACTTTCCAAATCTCCATTAACAAATAAAAGGAATCAGATTCGGCTTCTGTCGTTTCTTGGTGCTGCTATTACTATGACGCAAGCTTTGTGTTATTGAGAGAATTTTAAAGCAATTGATTGCTACTATTATGCGATATAACCCTCTCTAGATGAAATGTCAATCTCAAATAATCAAATTGAAATCACTACGCTATCCATTAATGTTTGATTAAACTGAGGAGTTTACATCATAATACACCAAAACCAAGGCTATTAGATTACATTATCAATTAAACACTCTCAAGTAAATCACAATTATCAATAGATTTCTCCTCTGATTATGTCCCCTAATCCTTATCAATTCAATCACATAAAACATCTCTTTGATCATAGTGGATTCAATCAATTACCTCTGAAACTGACATCCGATACGAATCCAACGGCAGGAAAGAGAGGGAATTTCATTGTTTAAGTGTTGTAGTGTCAGCACCACTGATTCCCAGTCCCTCAATGTGGGGCAATGGTGGAAACTTGAAAAAGTTGAAACAGCTTCTTCTTCAACGTCATTGGACGAATTTCTTACCAAACATTACTTTTTTTTCATTATAAAACAAAGACATTAGGACCTACCAAATTCCCACATCTCGTTTCTCTATCATATACATTTTGGTAAAAGTTTATTACAAGTCCCTCTATCACGTAAACCCCCCCCCCCCATTTTAATATTTCTATTAGTATCTCAATCCATTTACCGTGTCACTGAATTGTGTTATTGCGTTTGCTTTCTCAGAAGATAACTCTCATCTACATGGATAAGCTCATTCAAGTCGTGTAATCAACTCTTTTTCAGTTACTACTCTTAATTCTATTATTTTATGCCTAATTATGTTATGGGATTTTCCCTTTCTTCATCCAAACTTTGTCTTGTAAAATTATTAATAAAAATATCCATTCAAGAGTTAATAGTGCTATAAATCTAAATCTATTAATAACAAGTTATTCTGAATAATGTTTAAAAAAACAACTAGTAGGGTGATGAATAGTTGATAATAAAAGCATGAACAACTTTTGAGAGATGCGTGAAATGGAAGGGTAAGAAGGGAGGTAATTATTGAGCCCCCTAAAAGGGAAAGATAAGCACGTAGGTGGATCGAGAGACAAGGGGAATCATTAATGGGTACTCAACAATGTGACTTTTTCTGTTTTGCATTGGATTACTAGGGGTTTTGTTTTGGGAAATGGCTTCAGGACCACCATACCCCACCAACACGCCTGCCTGTATACAACTCATAATATATGGCTCTAAAGCTTTTCTTAGCTTCGGTGTTGTGTATATGAGAAGCACGACAGCGTTAGTGAAAGAGGTACAATGATTTTAGAGGGATGAAACAATAATATTATTTCTCTCTCACCCAAACATATATATTGGGTTAGGTGGAACTCTCTTAAATCTGGGTCGGGTCAAATATGAGTGGACTTTAATTTTTGGGTGAGCAAAATTTTGATCAGACCCATTGCCATTCCTATGTGTAATTAGAGTGATGAGAATGTATCATAATCTGCAATGTGTTGATGGGTTGAGGACATCAAGGATAAAAAGTCATAGGTATCAATGATAGTGGTCCTACTACCTATGGAACCTAGAGATTGCTCCATCCATGGTTTATGTAGGAGACTGAGGTCCGAATTAGAAAAATGGATAGGCAATGGCACTGCCAGTTAAGTGATAAAAGGTGCATCATCTTTTATTAAGTGACATGAACCAACAGCCACTTTGGGGTTGGGGCTCAGAGTATGATTACTTTATTCTTCAGTAATATCGTAAGAGATATTCACAAATCTCCATTCTTGAGTCTTGGAGTTTGATCATATAGTCCTAGCAAAAAAGGAAATTGAAAAATTAAGCACAAAAGTGTAGTTAAAATTAAATCCACTGTCATTCAATAGAGGTTGAAAGGTGGCATCAGTTTGCGTCTCGTTGTTTACTCCAATGAGAGTGAAGTTGGATCTCATCTTTGAATTGATTGCTGTTTTCCATCAAGAAACAAACATCCAGATCCAAGTTTTAATTATGCTTGTACATAAACCTCTCAATTCTTATCTTAGTTTGAATATTCGTTGAGTGCATTGAGTAGCTTTATTGATAAAAAAAAAGTTGTTTTCCTTAGATTAAGAACCTTAGTTTGAACATTTGTTTCAGTAGGATGTGCGTAAGTTATCAAGAGACTAGAAAAATACAAAATAATATTATTTTGTAATCTTTAGACTATTAAAAAAACAATTTACAATATTCATTGCAATCTATATATACTCATCTAAACACCAACAAATATTGGTACAAGTGGTTGAAATTCAAGAATTTGAGTTTGTAAGGCCAAATTCAAATCCTACCACTGTCACTCTTAGTGGACAATCTATAAATTTCTATGTAAATTCAAATTGGATTTTAGGTATGCCTTGTACATGGACTGGAAGAGTCTCTCCTAACATAAACTTTTATGTACCAAGAATATATATATATACTCATCTAAACACAATCCAATGATCGACCAATAAACAAGTCTCAGAATGACTCCAACTTAGAAGGACTACCAAATATTATTGTGTGTTGATTGAAAGTGTTCCACATACTACAGCTGAAGTAAACTTCAATTGAAAGAGATACAGATGTAGATAAATTGATACCGAATTATAATTAAACAACATTATGATAGTATTACATGTCAAATATACTATCAATTTTAATGCTTTTGATTACATTTGATTAGAGACTTTCTATCACCCAGAAATTTAACACTAAAAAGGCAGGAAATAGAGGTTGGGGGTAGGGGAGGAAGATGTCATCTTAACTTATGTATCAACATGGGAAACTACATTCAGTCTGAAAGGATTTAAAACCAAATTAAAGAGAAGGAAGATGTCATCTTAACTTATGTATCAACATGGGAAACTACATTCAGTCTG